CGAAAGAAAATAGCCACTCCAGTTCGAAAGATACGAAAGAAAATTAGAGACAGACGAAGAAGCACTCAGACTGTGTATGTTGGGAGGGAGGTGGGGCGGTGGAGGACACTTAAAGCTGAGTTAGGAGGCAATGGCGAAACTGCTCCTCGACACGTGAGTATGCGCTTCACAGGTCTCAAGTGTGTCTCATTATCATATTATCCTGTTCACAATAAATGACAATATTTGTGCTCATACAAAGTTGGTTACGTGTATAAGAGCGTTTTGGGCTTTACGTTTTCTGTTTTTGATCGGTACATGTACCGAAAAGGTGGACAGGCGGCATTTACATGTCTGACAAGTTTCGCTCTGTAGTCGTGACGTCTATCTCATTCTGACTGAAGCCTGCTGTGATTGGTCGTAAGCGTGGGAAAATCGAGGTCGTGACCTTGAGCCGGAGGTACTTCCGGCTGTGCTCCGAAATCATGATAAATAGTTTTCGTTTTCTAATTTTTTATTCTAGTTGTCTAAACAGAACTTTTGTGACCCAGACTTATTAATATGATAATAAACAATCTCACAAAACACAAATCTGACCAAAGTTTTACATAGAACCCGCTTCTATACATTAATCTAACCCACTGAGACTGTCTTTAACTGCAGATATAAGGTAGGTCATTTCCCATATATAATGAGTCACACATTACCTGCCCCCAACCGCCCACCCGTTTTCAATCCTATGATGGAAGTACTAACTTCTATTCATATTACGTAAAATTATGTTGCGTTGCTGAGAGCATGGGATGGGGAGTCAAAGAAATCTACGAAATTATGATCAATTCACTCGAAGGTAAAGCCCTCGATGAGTTTGTAAAACTGCCACCTAACGAAAGGATGCACCTGTACAGTGTTGTAGATACCCTTATGAAATGTTTCGGAAAAACTGAAAATTCATCCTTGGCGCGAACAGAACTGGCCGCTATAAAACAAAAAGAAAACGCAAGCTATGAAGAATTTGGCTCACGTGTGAGAATATTAGCGTTGTCTGTCTACAGTGGTACTGGCCTGTTCAATCAAAACAGCACCCCCCTTTTCCGTCAAAACTGACAGGTGCGAGGTACCCTCGGTCATTCTGTTGTAAAATGTTGGTCCATAATATGCTGTACCATGAGTTATGTATGATAACACTGCAGATGAGGTCCCCGAACCCAAGGGAGGTCATGTTTTTCACCTGAGAGATCTGTCCTTAATGATTTTCCTTTCTTTCACTCTTACAAGGAATTCCCGACTTTTATCCCTGCTCTACACATTTTAATGGTAGGCACGAGCAGCTCTCTCCATGGTAGTTTACCAAAACGTTGGTGGGTCAACAAGTAGCCTCTTATTTCTCCTGGCACAACAACGGTCAGTCCCCCTATAAAGAAAATAATCAATTAAGAGAATACCGTCGAATCCTCTGACATAACATACAGAGACACACCAGCCCCGACACTCATGATACTGCAAACCTGACGTCCGTGTTTGAAGACAACTTAAGGTGTAGCAAGATTTCTGTCACATATCTGGAGAATCAGAAGTTATCGCGTACACCATGGCATTATGTACATCCACATTGTTTTACTAGTACTTTACAGCCTTACCCATAGTAGATGCGGTTTTGCTAGGGTTGTTGGTGAACATGGTCTCATTTGCTGCAGCCGGTGCTTGTTCTTTTGCATCAACTGTATATGCTGTTTTGTTGGCCCTTATAACAAACAACATTATCGACTGTATATTTTCTCTTGCAGGCAAACAACCAAAAAGGTACAGAGTGATTTAATTTGAATGTATGTTAATACTACGACTTCCATGACTTTTTCTTTCAAGATCCACTCAAATATATCCTAAAACAATTAACTTTCTAAATGTCTATTATATGTTGTTGATAAGGATGCTAGGGATCATTAACAGATTCTTTTACCCGTGTAGTTTCACGCTCTGTTTTAAGAAAGATTTCTAATGCAATATATGTGTAGTTCAAATATTGCTTTAAAAGGTTTCTAAAGCACTGTTTAAACTTCTAAAACACACACACACACACACACACACACACACACACACATATATATATATATATATATATATATATATAACCTGTTATAAACTGTCATGAAGAATTCTCCTCCGAGACCCATACTGTGCGCATTGTGTACTCCTACACATAACAATGATGCGATGGCCGCATCTACTGCTGAGCCATACCGGGCAAGAAATTCTCTGGAAAAAATGGATAAATGACAAGTAGTGGGCAGACAAGTAAAGAAAATGCACTGTTAAATTGGCAAAATTAACAATTATATTTATACATACAACTGAACATCCGGATCACTTTGTCTAGGCTACAGTTAACATTTGAAGTTATCCTGTTATTTTGTTGTCAAAGAAATGAACAATAGAAAACAAATCTGACTACTGCACAAGTCATAAGCTATATAGAACAGCATACAGACGCAAATTACATGAAACTATTACTTTTGAGCATTCTCCAGCATCCGCGGAGGTACTGCTGAGACATCGGTTGTGTTTAGAGCAGTAGCAGTAGTTCTACCCATGGACATAATGAGAGAAGGCCTTCTCTCATTATGTCCATGTTCTACCTTTGGAGGCAGAAACACTGCCTTTTGACGTGCCACCAACAGGTATGGCACCAGTAGCAAAGAGTACTTTATCTCACCACTGCCACCACAATCACAAAAACCAGCAAAACCGCACATCGAATGTGTAAACTGAGAAAAAAAGAAAAAAACGTTTATTTAATACCTCTCACTTACGAGTATGACAGTGTTTATCATCACACACACACACACACACACACACACTTTCAATGATTTACATCACTGACCTATTTTGGCTTCTTTGCCTTACTCCTTTCTACACTCTCTTCGAGTTCACCTAATCAACATACCTACATGTATTTTAACAACTCACAGGTGACGGAAAGACAGGTTGGGTTGGCCGCAGGAGTGATTCGTCATCACCTTGTCGAAACTGGACCAAGTATTGTTCATTGTCATCGTCCACATGTTGTGTCAGTGGAGAGTACCTAAAATGTTAAGATAGCAGCATTTTTATGACATACTTGTATGTGTTGACAAATGCCACAACATTAAACTAAAAAATGCGCACTGTCCGATTACGTGGTATAATATCTAGAGGTGGTCGATTCTTGCCCTATTTTAAAAACGCTATATCAAAAAAAAAAAAAAAAAAAAAAAAATCAGAGCTGGGCTCTGAGGATTTTGTGCATTAGTGCTCTTCTTGAGCTAAAGTCGGTGTAAAGCACGCCGAGGTGTTGGTGGTTCTTCTATATATCTACGGAATTAATATTTCTTTGGTAAAACATGCAAATATGCGAAGTCTAATAAGTAACGCGGTTTTGTTTTTGCCTGAGTCATGTTTTGAGAAGACTGGTGATAATCAACCGAACATTAAACAATCATATTCTTATTAAAATTACTGTAGCTTATGAGAAATGACTACTGTAAAGCTTTTTCTAATGAAGCCAGTAGGCTTAACAGTCTAGCTCATTAAGATATTGCTTGTTAATGACTGAACAATTATCATTTTGAATCAAGCTGTTTCCATTACAAATAAAAAAGACATTGTAATGATTCGAATCAAGATGCAGGATTCGTGGCGCACAGAAAAGCATAAAAGCGATTTACACATTTTACAAGAATCGCTTTACTTTTAACCTAGCCTTGATTGCAACCCATTACGCTATCGCTGTTCCTGTGTAATTACTCTGAGCTCTCTGTCTTTGAGCTGAAAAAAACATAAGGAAATGTAGCAGATGAGAATAATAGGATCGCTTGTGCAATCAAGGATTACTCACCCAGGAGTAAAAAAGCATTCATATATTTTTGGGTTGGGGTCAGATGTATTTTTTCTCGAAGGGGTCTGTGTTATCTATCCCCGACAGCGGTCTGTCATTACCCCCCCCCCCCCCCCACACACA